AGGGCTGCGAGGATGAGGAGGGGACTGGAGCATCTCTCCTGTGAGGAGAGGCTGAGGGAGCTGGGCTTGTTCAGCCTGGAGAAGAGAAGGCTGAGAGGGGACCTTCGAAATGCCTCTAAATATCTGCAGGGTGGGGGTCAGGAGGACGGGGCCAGACTCTTTGCAGTGGTGCCCAGCGACAGGACAAGGGGCAACGGGCACAAACTGAAGCCTGGGAAGTTCCAGCTGAACCCGAGGAAGAACTTCTGATATTCCAGCCCCGCCTGGACGTGGTGCTGTGCAGCCTGCTCTGGGTGACCCTGCTTGGGCAGGGAGTTGGACTGGGTGACCCACAGAGGTCCCTTCCATCCCCTAACATTCTGTGATTCTGTGATTTATCCTTATGGCATTTATCTCTTGGCCAATAGCAGCCGATTCCTCTGCTCTCCCTAAGCTGTATCTCTGCCAGTGAGGGGCAGAAGCGGGACTGGAGGGACCTGGTGTGACCCTGAAAGCGCTTCTCAGGCTGCCGAAATGTTCTTCATGGCTTTTGGGGAGCTGGCTGCCCCCAGGCCCCTGAACACGCAGCTCCTCCAGGCTGGATGTTTTCTGTAGGGGAATAAATCAGAGTTCCTTGGCACTCCTGTCTCCAAACAGGTAAGGAATAACTGGTGCTCAGGGGCTGGGATCTTGGCTTTTCCTTTCTCTTGCAGAAACAAAACTGCTCCTGGTAGAGATTGGTGCTTCGGTTGTGGGTTAATTAGCTGGTTTAGGGACTTATGGCAGAGCTGATGTCTTTGCAGCTATCCAGCTCGCTGGGAGCTGTTGGAAAATTCCATATTAATATGAATATTACGGTGTACAGTGCCTTCCTGCTCAGAGTCTCTGTTTTCCTTTCTCCCAGAGCTGCATTATAAAGCGTTACTGTGAGAAGAGGTTCGTTCCCAAATACCTGGCAACTATTGGTATCGACTACGGCGTCACCAAGTAAGTGGCAGCGAGGAGCTGCAATTCCCAGCAGAGTGAGATGAGCAGCGTGGTTGCAGATGGCAGGCATGGGTCTGCTGGGGCCTGGGCAAGGCGCCTGCTGCTGGGGGCACTGGTCTGCACTGGGGCAGAGGGAAGATGTGCAGGGACCACGCTGCCCTGAGCCTTGGCTCTACCAAGGCTGCTTAGATTCCGTGGCATAATCTGCATTTCGGCTTTAATAATAAGATAATCTGCATAATCATAGAATCATAGAAAGTTTTGTGTTGGAAGGGACCCCTAGAGGTCATCTAGTCCAACCCCCAGCCTTCCTCCAGTAGCGTAGCTCCCTGTTACCACGTTATATCCAGAGCTGGTGCTGTCCTCGTTGCCTGACCAGCTCTAGGGGCAGTTTTCTGGCCACTTAACCCCAGCACTCAGAACTTATACTGATTTTTCTGACCCCAATCACGCAGCTCTTTCTCTGCAGAGGGCTGGCAGGGATAAGGGATGTTCCTGCAGGGGCACAGCTTGTGCGAGCTCTGAGCTTTCTCGAGCCTTTCCCATTTCTTTTTCAGAGTGCAGGTCAAAGACCGAGAGATCAAGGTGAACATCTTCGACATGGCGGGGCACCCGTTCTTCTACGAGGTGAGGCAGACCTGGCTCCAGGCAGCACGCTGCAGGGCTGCCCTCAGCCCACCCGGCTCAGAAGCGTTTGGCACCCGTCAGCTTTCCTCAGCTCTGCCTGAAATTGGGTTTGGGAGTGGGAAACATGAAAGTACATTTCATAGCATCATAGAATCATACAATCAATAAGGTTGGAAAAGACCTCCAAGATCATCAAATCCAACGGCACCCCAACACCCCCACGCCTGCTAAACCCTGTCCCCAAGTGCCCCATCCACACGGTTTTTGAACCCCTCCAGGGATGGGGACTCCCCCACTGCCCTGGGCAGCCTGGGCCAAAGCCTGACCGCTCTTGCAGGAAAGAAATTTTTCTGATATCCAATCTAAACCTCCCCTGACACTAATTAGCTGCTTTGTTTGGGTTTGTGTTTTCAGCATTTAGTACTTGTAAATGTGTAGTGTGTCTCTGATGTATAGTTGGTTTTATACTAAAATATAACTAAGCAGGGAGAAATAAAAGCAAAAAAACCCCTCCGGGCACAGTGTAAATCAGGAGAGGGGTGGCTGGAGAGCAGCCCTGCGTAGAAGGGGGTCTGGGGGTGCTGGCTGAGTGCAGGCTCAGCAGGAGCCAGCAGCGTGCCTGGCAGCCCAGAGGGTAAACCTCATGCTGGGGTGCGTTAAACACAGCGTGACCAGAAAGAGGGGATTATCCCGATGTCTTCAGCGTTGGTGCGGCCTCCCCTGGAGTGCTGTGTGCAGTTCTGGGCCCCGCAAGTTAAGAAGGATGCAGCTCTGTGGAGAGGGACCTGGGTGTCCTGGTGGACGACAGGTTGACCACAAGCCAGCAGCGTGCCCTGGGTGCCAAGAAGGCCAATGGGATCCTGGGGTGCATGAGGAGGAGTGTGGGCAGCAGGGCGAGGGAGCAGAGGGGGAGGAAAACCTCCCTCAACCTGCTGCCCACACTCCTCCTCATGCACCCCAGGATCCCATTGGCCTTCTTGGCACCCAGGGCACGCTGCTGGCTCACGGTCACCCTGTCGTCCCCCAGCACTCCCAGTCCCTCTCCACAGAGCTGCATCCTTCTTAACTTGCGGGGCCCAGAACTGCACACAGCACTCCAGGGGAGGCCGCACCAACGCTGAAGACATCGGGATAATCCCCTCTTTCTGGTCACGCTGTGTTTAACGCACCCCAGCATGAGGTTTACCCTCTGGGCTGCCAGGCACGCTGCTGGCTCCTGCTGAGCCTGCACTCAGCCAGCACCCCCAGACCCGAAGTTAAACAAGTTAAACTGGGCCCAGTACTGACCCCTGAGGGACACCACTGGTTACCGGCCTCCAACCATACTCAGTGCTGCTGATGCCAACCCTCTGAGCTCTGCCATTCAGCCATTTCCCAATCCCAGCCATTTTACAGGCTGATACATCAGCACAGTGCAGGTATTAATTGGGATCCCCCGTCTGTCCTTTTTCTGTGGTCTTCTGTCTGTGTGGAGCTGAGGTTTTTATCACAGAACCAAGGAGGTGCCGGCGATCGCCCAAACCCGCGGGGCCCTGTGCTCTCAGCCTGGCTGTCGCTGGTGCCAGCGCCCTGCCGTTGTCTCCACAGGTGAGGAACGAGTTTTACAAGGACACGCAGGGGGTCATCCTGGTCTACGACGTCGGGCAAAAGGAGTCTTTCGACGCGCTGGACACGTGGCTGGCTGAGATGAAGCAGGAGCTGGGCCCCCATGGGAACATGGAGAACGTTGTCTTCGTTGTCTGTGCAAACAAGGTGGGCTGTGGTGGGGAGCCAGGCTGCGGTGCCACCCTGATCTCCAGCCCAAGCCCAGGCTGTTTTGCTCCAGCTGCAGCAATGGAAAGGTTGTAGGTTGTAGGGAAGTCTTTCCAAGAGCCAGATCTGTGCGTGAGGAGCGCTGGAGACCACATTTCAATGAGGTTTTGAGAATGTGGTGGCCACACTTCACAGAATCACAGAATGGTCGGGGTTGGAAGGGACCTCTGGGGATCATCTAGTCCAACCCCCTGCCGAAGCAGGGTCACCCAGAGCAGGCTGCACAGGACCTCATCCAGGCAGGTTTTTAATATCTTCAGAGGTGACATTGTCTCTGGACTAGATAAATTCTCAAAGGCAGCCTCTACTCGATCCCTTCCTGACTGAAGTGTGGCCACCAAATTCTCAAAACCTCATTGAATTTCAACAGACAAGCAACCTTGGAGCTGTGTCCCTCCAGCTGCCGCTGCAGACCCTGGCTGGGTTCTGACCTCTTGCCTTTTCTCCCCATCTAGATCGACTGCACCAAGCACCGCAGCGTGGACGAAAGCGAGGGGCGGCTCTGGGCTGAGAGCCGGGGCTTTCTTTACTTCGAGACGTCGGCGCAAACAGGAGAAGGGATCAATGAGATGTTTCAGGTGAGGCAGAGTGGAAGCACCCAGGGCACAGATGCTGCATGGAGCCAGGATTTCATGGCAGAATATCCCCTGAACTGCCTGGATCCCACAAAACCTGTTGGCCCGCTTCCCCAGAGGTGTCTTCCCAGTGAAATGCTGCCCTGAGGAAGCTGTAGCTGTTGAGCTCGGATCGGTTTTGTTCCTCCCGGTCCTGAGCTGGCCCTGGCATTGCCTGGCTCAGAGCTGGTGATCCCTCTCGCTGCGCTGCGAACACGATGCAGAGATGCTGGTGTCACCTTTTCAGGTCTAGTACTGAACTGAAGTGAGTTTGAGATAAAGGCAGGGCCTGGCCTCCTCCTTCCTCCTCAATCTGTCCCGTGGTCCTTGCAGGGACCGGTTCCCCCCCAGACCGGGGTATCACGGACCCAGTGTGGGCGTTCAGCAGTTGTCCGAATCATAGAATCATTAAGGTTGGAAAAGCTCTCAGAGATCATCAAGTCCAACCGTCACCCCAGCACCCCCATGCCTGCTATACCCTGTCCCCAAGTGCCACATCCACACGGTTTTTGAACCCCTCCAGGGATGGGGACTCCACCACTGCCCTGGGCAGCCTGGGCCAAGGCCTGACCACTCTTGCAGGAAAGAAATTTTTCTGATCTCCAATCTGAACCTCCCCTGACACAACCTGAGGCCATCGCCTCTCGTCCTATCACTAGTCAGTTGGGAGAAGCGACCAGCCCTTTTTTTCCGCCATGTCCTTCTTGGAGGGAGGGGCCCAAAGCTGAGCACAGCACTCGAGCTGCGGCCTCACCAGTGCCCAGTCCAGGGGCACGATCCCTGCCCCAGTCCTGCTGGCCACACCAGTGCTGGTACAAGCCAGGATGACGTTGGCCTTCTTGGCCACCTGGGCACACTGCTGGCTCCTGTTCAGCCGGCTGCTGACCAGCACCCCCAGGGCCTTCTCCACCGGGCAGCTCTCCAGCCACTCCTCCCCAAGCCTGGAGCGTTGCGTGGGGTTGTTGAGACCCAGATGCAGGGCCCGGCACTTGGCCTTGTTGAACCTCACACAGTTGGCCTTGGCCCATGGATCCAGCCTGTCCAGACCCCTCTGCAGAGCCTTCCTGCCCTCCAGCAGATCGACACTCCCACCCAGCTTGGTGTCATCTGCAAACTCACTGAGGGAGCACTCGATCCCCTCACATCGCAGGATGAGCCCTCAGTCAGCAGGGGTGGTGGGATCTCCGATGCCCTGCCACCGCTTCTGGGGCCCGTTCCTTCCCGCTAACCCCTCCCTGTGTCCGCAGACGTTTTACTCCACCATCATCGACCTGTGTGACAACGGAGGGAAACGCCCTCCTTCCAGCCTCGGGGTCGGCTTCACCAAAGAGCAGGCCGATGCCATTCGCAGGATCCGCAACAGCAAGGACAGCTGGGACATGCTGGGGGTCAAACCCGGAGCCACGAGGTGAGGCAGACTGCGGCGTTTGCCTGGCTGGCTGTAACCTTTCTGACCCGGCAGGCTGGTTGTGACTGTGGCCTTTTAGCAACCTGCCTGCTGATAAGCTGACCTTGGTTTATAGAGCAGCTGGGCACAAGTGTCTAGCCACAAAACTGAAGCAATGCAGAAGAAACCCTCGGTCCTGAGGCACCAAATTTCGATTTGAAACTCGATTTTCTAGCATAAGAATTAATTATGGGTAAAGGATTTTACATGAGGGATACACACATGCACTTCTAATTCCAGAACTCCTGGTTTTCCAGAGCAAAGGTAGTACTTTTCCCCTCCCTGTCCCACTCCAGTTATGCTGAAATGCCAGACATAAGTTTTATTCACCTGGGAGAAATGGTGAAGTCCACAGAACAACTGGGGAATTCTCAGAAATCAGAACTTTCCTGGAGGCCTGCATAACTAAGGTGCCTGTTCTGCTTTCACAGTGAGAGATGCAAGGTGGGAAAGTAATTTCCTTGGCTCCACTCCTCAAAAAAAAACCAAGAAACTTACATAAACACATTGAGTTTTTCATGTCCCATCGTTCCAAATTTCCCCTTTTAACAGACAGGCCAGGCTGGAGGCGAGGAGGGGAGATGATGAACATGAGAACTTCAGCCCTGCCAGGCCTTGCGTCCTGCCTCTGGGCTGAGCTGTCTCCGGTCACTCGCTTGCCAGATGTGTTTGGAGTGGCTCCAGCTTTGCTTTCCTTGCCCTCCACGCCTGGAGAAGCTTTCGGGCTGCTGTAAGGCTGCTGCTCATGTTATCAAAAAGGGGTTGATGTGACAGCTCTTCCACCTGGAACTGGTACTCCCACAAGACAAGCTTCCTCTTGTCTTCTCAGAGGACCTCTAGCCAGGTGGAACTGGTCGTTGCTTGTGCAAGAGGTTGGATATTGAATCCCCTTGTTGTGCTGTGTGGCTTGGGGAGCTAAAACAAGCTCCCAAAGCTATGCCTGGCTTGCTTCTCTCTGAGGACTGCCTGTGTGTACTCCTTACGGAGGGGCTGGAGAGCAGATTTTTGGATAACATAGATAATTTTGGACTCATGCATCCTCCTGTTGGCTCCCTGAAGTGTAGGTGCTCAGCCTAACCCCCCCTCCAGCCCCTCTTTGTCCTTGGGGAGAGGTCAGCAGCTCTGAGGGGCAGTTTGTGCTCCAATCACCGGCACGGGCGGACTCCCCTCCCTCAAGAGGTGCCCCCCTCTCTCCTGTCCTGCAGCTCGGCCCAGACACCCGAGGCTTAAGGGGCTGAAGCGATGTGCAGCGCCTTCGCCCGGAGCGCGTAGGCGGTTTGATGCGAAGCTGAGTCAGGGTGCGTGTGCCCCCACGCTGTCTCCCAGCTTTCTGCTCTCGTGGTGCCTCAGACTCAGCGCGCCGCGGCACGTGTCCCGGGCACGTGTCTGGCATGGTGGGAGCATTCGTGCCGGCACGGTCCCGCGCTGGAGAGGGTGTATCTGCCCCAGGAGATGGGTTCTCCCCCTCCTCTGCTCGTGCCACGCCAAGAAGCACCCTGGGTGCTTTTCTGCAGCTCTTTCTCCATAGCATCACCTCTGTAGGTGACCCTGCTTCGGCAGGGGGGTTGGACTAGATGACCCACAGAGGTCCCTTCCAACCCCTACTATTCTCTGCACAAACGCTGCATCCATGAGTGTCTGTGCATCACTTAGTTGGGGAATGTGGGCACAGGGTGCTGACAGCTCAGCTGCCACAGTGTTGGGGAGCATTTTGCCAAAAAGCTGATGCCGTAGGCTCTGGTTTCAAGGTTTCGCTGGGCTTTGGCTTCCCAGGTGCTGTGAGTTAATCCCCAGAGGCAGCTGGGTATCAAACAGACACTCAATCTCCTCCAGTGCAGGATGGGAGAGGAATGTTAGCTGTGTTAAAATAAGCCTGTGATGTAGAAAGAGTGAAAAAACGTTGATCTTAGCTCCAAAGCCTGGAGATCCTTAATGCCAGCGAGGGAAGGGTTGAAAAGTGTCTACACAGGGCTGTTGAGCAGAGAGGGAGGCCCTGGCCCTGCTGTGCTCTGCCAGCTGGGGCAAGGCTGAGCCACGCTGTGTGCCACGTGGGTGCCCTGATTCCTGTCGTCTCTCCTAGGGATGAAGTGAACAAAGCCTATCGGAAGCTGGCCGTGCTGCTCCACCCCGACAAGTGCGTGGCTCCTGGCAGCGAGGACGCCTTCAAAGCGGTGGTGAACGCCCGGACCGCGCTTCTCAAAAACATCAAGTAGGGAACAGAACCGCTCCGAGCTGGAAACCTGCCCCTCTTCCCAGCTGAGCTCCCCGGCCGCGGGGCACCCCTCTCCTCCTCGTGCTTAGCACAGGCGTGGACACAGACGCTCCCAGCACGGGCCGTGGGAGCAGGCCTGCATCGGACCGTAGCGCGCTTGCGATCTGCTGCGCAGGGGACGGAGTGCTGAGGAGGGGAGAGGGACCCCAGAGTCCTCCCTGCATCCGTGGCCCGAGCTCGTGGTTGGCGTAAGTGCTGAAAGCAGCGAGGTCCCCGTCCTCCCGGCTGTGTTACGCCTCCCGGGAGTTAGCAGCCGTGGAGGGGTTTGGATGCCTGGCTCTAATGTGTGGATGCAGCCAGGGCAGAGCGAGGTCTGACCCGAAAGCTGCTGCGCCTGCAAGCGTTGGTGTCGTGGGTGGAGGGTGGTGTCAGCCCTGCTGGGTTATCCCGGAGCTGCCTCTGCACGGCTGCCCGTGCTGGAAGCTGCCCAGGCACCGCCGAGCACCGGGATGGTTCGGTTCCCTCCAGATGACACACACAGAGCTGCTTTTGGCGGGCAGGCGACGG